TTCCCCACTCCACCTATGTCAATTTATTTTTATTCATTCTAATTTTCCAGTTTTTATGAATAAAACTGTATTTTTAATTACTTTTTAAAAAGGAAAAATCCACCCTAATTTTTTACCTCACTTAGCTACAACACTTAATATGAAAGCATATTTTATATCCCAAAGTTTTAAATAGCCACACAATAGTTAATGGACTAATTAAATGACTATTGCAAAAAAAAGAGATATAAAGAAATATTTTAGAAAAATGGAAATGTTTAACTTGATTGTGTGGGTCATAATATACAAATATATACATATTTTTCAATATTTACTGAATTGAGTACTTCATATTCATTTCACAGAACTAAGTTATATACTAGTAACAATGACTTTAAAACTATTACTGCCCAGATACCTTAACAATAATCATAAAATAATACTTTCTATACAGTACCTACAAATTCCACAGTTTTCACAATGGTACTGCTTCTTGTCTTTGTCAAACAGATGACATATGTTGCAATAATATTCTCCAAACAATGTGCTACATTCTTCACAAGTCTGTTGGGCCTAAAAAAAGACATATTATTTAAAACTGGAATAAATTTATCAAAACATTTGAATTACAATCTAAAGAGCTAGGATTTATGTTAAAGTATATGAAGTTATATTTTTTTAAGTTTTGAAACAATTAAATCAAATATTTTCCTCACCCTAAGAGCTAAAGATATCATAGTTGCAATACTCAATAAAATTTTTAAGCCACTAGAAAAACATTTTTAGGAAAATAGAAGTGTATCAATAAAATCTTACGTGCTGAATTTTTTCACAGTTTATGCACTGCACTTCCTTTACTTTAAAGCGATCTAGCTGATGATCTTCTTTGTTATCATGACACAACCGACAAGTGTAAAGTTTGTCACAGCAAGGTGCCTAAACCCCAGGAGAGAAAAAGTTGTAAGAAACCAGAAGAAACTTTTCTTCCCGTTCCTCCTACAAGGTCAACAATTACAACCAATAAATCAGTAAACTGCTCCTAATTATAACAAGTCACTGGTTGCTTTGCATATTTTATGTTAAATGTCTATTTACTTATGTATATAAGAATTGAGACACAGGACAGAGGAGCAGGGAGTGAGAGGACTCACCAAAGACAGAGTGGGGAGCAAAAGAGGCAGACTGAATGAAACACACTGCTGAAAGGAGCGTGAGCAGACAGCAGAGGTCTGCCACCCCATGAGGGCTACTCTTCAGCCTGGGACCAAACTTAAGCTACAGCAGCTGAAAAACCAATTCTCAACACCCTAAACTCATTCTGAGCCTAATTGGTGACCAGTTAACTTAAGACATATATAGATCTGTCCATTTACCTACTTTACCCCCTTAAATATTATGAATTATATATTTTTAATTCATTCATTTTCATACACTGTTGTTCATTTTTGTACAATAGGTGGTTTCTCCCTGAAGGTGTAGTCCCTGTAGTTCTCCCACCACCATGTATGTCCCATCCATGACAGATCACCATGGTCACATCTGCTCTTCCCTCCCGTTAGGACCTCACAGTCCTCTTCCCCTGCTGTATGCCGCAATCTACGGTCTGTCTGCAAGTTTTGTCTTTTTCTTGACCTTTTCTCAATATGAGTTATTTTTTGGATCACTTATGTTTATTAATCACCAACTATGTGTCTCATATTTTAAAGAATGTAATAAGTATGAAACAACAACCTTTATTTCCATGCATGGCAGACTATCAGCTGTCCACCAAATTCTATTCTCTCCCTGCTGGAAAATAAATGCACAATTATACAATTCTCAGTCTCCTCTGCCGTTAGCTATGGCCAAGCAACTATGCTTTGTTACTTTTGAATGTTAAGAAATTAGATATGCCTCCACTTTCCTGCTGACATTTTCTCAAATGAAACTTGAAAATCATAGCAGTCTAGCTAATAACTAAAACATATCCCTAAAATATGGAAAAGAATACAATGGCAAAATCTTGGATTGTAGAGTGAACATGTAGTATAGGCTCAACATCTAACAGAATCATCCACTTGGAATTCACAAGTACAGAGAAATAAACTCTTTATTCTTTAACACCGGTTTCTGTTAGGTCTTTTTGTTATAGCAGCTTTCACTTTATCCTAACTAAAAATCAAGACATTTCCTGGTCAATACTAACCTAATACTTTCAGCACACCATGACCTGGGAGATCCAGTCATTTCTTAAGACTTGACTTATGCCTTGATTTAATATGGTTGACAAAATATAGTTCATTCCTTAAAGATTCTAACACTCAAATGGCTCCATTTCTCTCCAACACTACGTGTCCTAAGTCATAATACTTTCAATACCACAAAAATCTCAGTTCTCTGACTTCTCTTTTTTTTTTTTTAGATTTATTTATTTGTGCATACAGAACTGGGGTACAGGCCAGAGGCTCAAGGGTGATGAGGGGCTTCACCAGAGACAGAGTCGGGAGCAGAACAGGCTGACTGATGAAGTACACTGCTGAGGGGAGCAGCGGGCGGGTCAGGAGAGGTCTGCCACGCCATGTGGTCACCTCCGGGGCAGGCAGGGATCCAACTCATGAGGAAGTGGCTTTAACGGGGATGGAACTCATGAGGAAGTGGCTTTAGCGGGGATCAAACTCATGAGGAAGTGGCTTTATCTTCTCAGTGCAGTGCTTTAACCCGCTGCGCCACCAGGGAGGGCCCCTCCCGGACTTCTTAACTTCCAATGTCCTTGTTGGTCCTCCTTCTCAGTGACATGACACATTGCCACTGTCTTCTCACTGAAAAGCGGTTCTCAGAAACATTTTGGTCTCAGGCTCCCTTTACAATCTTAAAATTGAGAATCTGTGGATTATACCTACTATTACCATACTGTAAATCAAAGCTGATGAGTTTTAAAGCGCTATTGCTTTGTGTGTATGTATGTGTATATGTATATGTGTATATATAGTTTGTGTAGAAGAACTGGGGTGTAGGACAGAGGTGGGGGGGGTGCGATAAGAGGATTCACCAGAGACAGAGTTGGGACCAAAACAAGCAGAACTACTAAAATACACTGCTGAGGGGAACAGTGGCAGTGGATGAGACAGGAGAGGTCTACTGCACCACATGTAGGTCAGCTCCCTGGCCAGGGATAGAACTCAGGCCCTAGTGGCGATAGTGCTGAGAGTTAACCACGAGGCCACCAGGTAGGGCCATCAGGTAGCCCCTATTGCTTCTTTTAAAAATAACATTAACAAACTCTTACATATTAACATAATATGTAAGACATGTAAAACATTCATATTTTAATGAAAAGGTTGTATTTTCCCCTCAAGTTTCAGCACAAATTCAATCCTAGGCCATGGAGGTCTGCCATGCCAGACCTTTCCTGTCTCGCCCACTGCTCCCCTCAGCAGTGTACTTCGTCAGTCTGCCTGTTCTGCTCCCCACTCTGTCTCTGGTGAATCCTCTCACTGCCCCTGCACTTTTGACCTATACATCAGTTCTGTATGCATAAGTAAATAAATCTTTAACAAAAACAAAGCAGCAATTTCATGCATTGTTTTTACACATGCTAAAAATAGACATGTTAGAAAGTAGTTTTGACCTTGAGGATCATAAAAAAGGGCCTCAGGAACCCACAAGGGTTGATGAACCACTACTCTAGAACAGGAACTAAATCCGATTCACACTTTGAATATGACATTCTCTGACCACGACCTGCTCTCTTTCTAACTCCTATCATTCCCTTTGATACACCCTACCTCCTTTCTTCTCATTTGATCCACTCAGTCACATATCCCAAAACCCCAACTCTGGTTAAATTCAAGTATTTCTTTATAAACTTAATTTTCATATATAACATCCTATATGTGTCTAGCTAAATATAGCTTAAGAAAAAGAACCACCAGACTGACTGCTATAACTTTTCAGTCAAAACCACAAATGAAAAAGTGGACTCTTACAATCATGTGCTCTAGTCAATTCCCTCATTCTTGCAGAAACTACGCCCTACAATTTTGGTGGTTATTTCATATCTTCTTGCTCTTTAAAACGGGAATACTCTTCTTCCTGTCTTCTAATGTTGATGACCTTTCTCTTACTTCATTGTGAAAACAGAAATAATCAAGAGTACAATCTCCCACAAACTACCAATTTACTTGCAAAGGTATCTCATACAGCCTTACCTTACATTACAATCTACAGTCCACATTTTTATGCAAGGCCAACACCATTTGTGCACAGTATCCTATCTTTGGCTACTTAAAGATAGTTTCCCTCAGTTTCCCTCTGTTCTGAACTACAAAATCTTCTTATTTTATTGGGCTATTTCCAAAAATATGCAAACATGCCATAATACCTCCCATCTTAAAGAGGGAAAAAAATCCCATAGCTCACATGGCCCATTAACAATGGCCTCATTTTGGGGTAACTTACAGCAAAAACTCGCAGAATTATCTGTAAAGGCTATTACCAGTTCCACTACTCCCATTCTCTCTTGAATCTACTCCAATTAGGCTTTCTCCTAATTTCTCCATTGAAACTTCTCTTGCCAAGTTCACCAGTGACCGCCACACCAATAAAGGTCAATTTTCAGTTCTTATCTTACTCAAAGGGCAATAGACTGAATTGCTTAATCTCTCAAAACTCTTCACTTGGCCTCTGGTATTAGGGAAGACAGAAAGTACTTCTTAGTGCTAGGAAATACAAATGTAGTTGTATGGTTTCCTGGGAGACAGAGGGCCAAGACACTGATTTCAGTGTTTTAAAACTCAGGTTTAAAGGAATAATCTTGATGGAAATGGAATCAAGACTAGTACTCAATTTTTTACCCAACATTTGGTGACTGAGTTTCATCCAGAAATTTAAAAAAAAAAAAAACAGTGGCCCACAAAAATGGTTTCAGGTTACCTTTACAGGCCTCATAGTTTTGATCAGGCAGGGACTTCTATCATCCTTATTTCACATAAGGTGCACTTAAAGAATTAAGTGCTAAGACATCGGATTTTAGCAGCACTAATATTTGAGGATGAGGCTGTGGTGACGCCAAAGCTCAGACTGTTGCAAAATCTTTAAATTGCCTTTTGCAAGATAAGTCAGAATTTAATTGGGTGGTTGCCGATGGAAAAAAGAGTAGAGTTTTTCTCAAAGAAAGCAGCAAAAGTTAACACTATTCATACAGATACTTTCCCATACTAAATTTCCACAAGTGGCAAGCACACGACTTTCTTTTCAAAAATATTACTCTTTGGCGGGTTTAAGCATATTCACTGATCCCCAAGTGAAACTGGCAGGCTGTGAAACGTACTGGCTCCAGGAGCTGAAATATATCACCTTTCTCCACTTACTCTTTCATGTCCATTATTTCATCACACACAGTGATGTGGGGAAAAGCCAGGACAAGTCTGAAGCTGTCTCAGCTTACTTCCAGAAGCAAGAGACTAAACTAAGTAAACCTCTTGCCGACCGACCAGCAAGCCCAGGTCAAGCAAAAAAACCTTTTGCTTGCTAAGTACAAACAGGAGGAAAACGGAGGCCTGCGGACGCCTGGCCAAAACACTTCTCTCCAGCAGGAACCCAGTTCGAGATTTTTGGAGAAAATATTCTGAAAAACAGTTCAGCCCGAGTCTAATCAATCGCCTTGCCCACTCCGCCCAACCCGGTCCGGCGGAAGCCCATCAGGGACGAGCCCAGAGAAGTCACCTTCAGGAGACATCCTCTGTCATAGTGCTCGCAGCCCCGCCGCCCTTGCTCTGGGCCGCGGGCGCCATCTTCCTGCGCCGAGGCCGCCATCTCTTCCACCTCCCTCCAGCGACTTTTCGCCAGACGAAAGCCACGCCCAGAGAAGCAGCGCCACTCAGCACAGCCCCTCCCGGCCGAAGCCGCTCCAATATGGCGGTCAAGCACGTGACCCGGGGCAGCCGGATTTCCGGTTTCCGAGGCTACGGGGCGGAAGTGGAGGCCGACGCAGTCTCTGTCGTCGATGTTACTTGCCGTCTTCGCTGCTAACGGTAATAACTCTTAGGTTGCTCTTATCTTCATCATAATCCGCCCAGTCCTGAGCGTGGTTCGAGGCAAGCAGGACCGCAGCTGCGCGGAAACGCCCGGAGGAAGGGACGCTCCCAGGCCGCCTCCGCACCTGTGACAGGGCGGCCCCTCCCTCTCCCTGCGACGGCCGGAGCTTGGAGAAAGGGGCGGAGCTCGGCCTGACCTCTACTTCGGAGCGGGTCTTGGTGCGCGCTCTGCTGCGGCTGCTGAGCTGCCCGGGCGTCTCGAAACGTTTCCTCCTTCCTGCACTTCGCCTCTGCTTGCTCATCTTAGTTTCACAGTTATGCGTTAATATTTTCCATGTGCCAGTGATGTAGTGAACAAAAATGAGCAAAAGCACACACTCCCATGCCCACATCGAGTGGTGGGAAAGAAACACGTTGATCAAGAATTATTTTAGTAAATGTAAGATTACAACTTGAGAAGTGTGGGAAAGAAGTGCGTGTTCTACAAAAGATAACACTAGAGGGGCTCTCACTGGTCTGACTCCCCAGGAGTGTTTCCCTGGGGACTCAACACTTGCGCTGAAAGATGAGTAGGAGTTTGTGTGCCAACGTCTTTTGGTGCAGGAACCTGTTGCCTATCAGAAGTGGTGGAGGGAAATGTACAAGCCCACAAAATTAAAATCGGTGCTTCGGCATTCGTAATATATATAACTAATAAAGTGCCAAGCCCTTATAACAAGGCTGCAGTTGATGGTATTAAATATTGCCTCTGGCCTTCTAGCATGATTTTCTGTAACCTAAAACATATTGGGAAATGTCAGTATGTCCCCCAGAGCTTTAAAGTTACTAACGCTTACTATTTTAATTTTCTTTCAGTTCTGTTATGAGTCGCTAAAATCATGGTGAAATGTTGCTCGGCCATTGGATGTGCTTCTCGCTGTTTGCCAAATTCCAAGTTAAAAGGACTGACATTTCACGTGTAAGATTTTACTGTAGTTAAGCTAAGTACTTTTGACTGTTGTAAAAAGCTGAAGTCAAACTTTCAAATTTTGACCTTTTTAAATAACATTGTTAGTTAAATTTGAGTGACCATAGTACTTTTACAGTTTAGTTCAGACATTTAAGATACCTACCAAAGTATCCGGCTGCTTAACAAAAATAACAAAGTTCATTTTTGCTAATTTTTTTTACTTTGCACTTTCACACCTTCTAAGCTAGTCCCAATTTACAGTGGAGAAAGAAGAGGGAGGAAAAGAGGGAGGAAGGATCCTTACATAAATGAATTAATGTCCTTTCTATTTAGAAAGAGATCAAGCTTGTTAGGGAAAAAATAGAAAATATAAGTTCATACCAAGAGGCCTTTGGCTATGATGCAGATATCAAGATGCTCATAATTTAATATTTTAGCAATTCTTCAGCAAAGGAAAGAGGGGATAATAAGTCTCAACATTTTTTTTCATTTGTTAAAAGTTTATTTTGCCGTTTTTGTGCCAGGTACTGATCCATGTACTAGAGAAAGATAGGCTAACTACTTTGCTAGGTATGAGGGAATCAAAAATGAGTATGTGTGTCCTGCCTTATTCCAAAAGAAGGATTTAAAACAGCTTGGACAATTGGAAAAGGTAGAGTTACTGGCCTCCAAAGTAGTCCTTATCTTCAGAACTCCAGATTGAAGCTATTTTCTGCAGTCATTCACTAAACTTTTATAGAGCTGTTGTATGTTAAAAGCAGTACTGAGGAATTTTCTGATAGTGACAGAAAAATGAAAGTACAAGGGACTGTATTCATGTGGGGTAAGTTGTAGATACCAGTTTATATAGGAAAAAGCCCAAATGGTAATCTTTATCATCTATAAATGAAAAAAACCTTTAATTGTGGATCTTACTGTAAGTTGTTAAATATCCATTGAAACTTTTCTTCACAATATGAGAATAATCAGAGCTCCATAGGTCTGGAGCATAATTGATATAAACATGACTTAAAAAAACAGATTATAAAAGCATGACTCATGATGGTTTCCTGAATATTCTCATTCCTAAGATTAATAAACTAATTAAGGAATCAATTTAGTCATAGCCTTAATGCAGGAATCTCATCAATGTTTAGTTTTCATGTACATTTTGTATTTTTTCTAGATTCCCCACAGATGAAAATGTCAAAAGAAAGTGGGTATTAGCAATGAAAAGACTTGATGTGAATTCCGCAGGCATTTGGGAGCCTAAAAAAGGAGATGTGTTGTGCTCAAGGCACTTTAAGAAAACAGATTTTGACAGAAGCGCTCCAAATATTAAACTGAAACCTGGAGTCATACCTTCTATCTTTGATTTCCCATCTCACTTGCAGGTATGTTTACAAGTCACTGCTTACTATCATTACTCATTCTTCATGGGACTATTAGAGAATACTGACTGTATTCATTTGAAGTCCTATGATTTATTAAATATTAAATTGCTGCATTAAATTTTAAAATGCTGCTTCAACTTTGTAATTTGTAGAAGTATTTTACCAATAGACATTCAGAACTATTTATATATTACTAAGGGTTAGTGAAATGGACTGTAACTTAGGATCTAGAATAATTGAAGATTTATGGTCTAAAATTTGGAAGTTAGCATAAAAGCCTTGAAGGGAAGTTCCAAGAGTGACAGTCCTCACATGGATGCCAGCAGTCAACAGCAGAGCCACTACAGACAAAACTAGTCACATACATTCATGTTTAAAACTTAGATAGGAGTAAAAATACAGGGGAGAGTGGGGGAAGGAGGTCAGAACTAGAGAAGGAAAGGAGAAGATTAGAAAAAGAAAATATAGGAATTTAAGTAAATTCTGAACAAGATGATATAAGTAAACACTAATTGAATTATGTGCTTTTCTATGAAAAATAGTTGTTAATTTTACTACACAAAGTTTAAAAGTAATAAAAATTTAAGAAAGAAGTATCTACAATAATTATTATGAGTTGGTAATTAACTGTTCTTAACAGGGAAAAAGAGAAAAACTTCATTGTAGAACAAACTTCACTCTCAAAACCCTTCCCATCACAAACCACAATTACGAGCTTGTTGGTGCTTCCTCATGTATTGAAGAATCCCAATCCCAGTTCATTTTTGTAAGTAAAGTTTCTAATGTTGTTGTTGTTTTTTAGATTTTTATCTTTTTTTCTTAACAATTTAAATTCCCAGTTTATTTTCACAAAAGAAAATAACATTGCAGTTGCAAGACCAAAAAGACAGTTAATTTTGTCAAATGCATTTTCTATACCTATTAAGAGATCATACAGTTTTTCTTAATTTTACTTTGTTAACAGGCTTATTGTATCATATTGTCTTTTAATGTAAACCAGCCTTGCATTCCTGGAATAAACCCTACTTTGTGAGACAGGAGAGGTCTGCTGCGCCGTGTGGGTTGGCTCCCTGGCCAGGGATAGAACTCATGCTTCAGTGGCTGCAATAGCTTCATAGTGCTGAGACTTCACCCCTTGCACCACCAAGGAGGACCATGTTGATGCACAGCGCTGAGAAGCAAAAGCAACTTCAGCATGAGTTCGATCCCCACCCTGCTGCTTCTACTTTGTCATTTGCCCTATTCTGCTCCTCACTCTGTCTCTGTTGAATCCTCTCACTGCCCCATACCTCTGTACCAGTTCTGTATGCATAAATAAATAAATCTTTTAAAAAAATTTTAATGTATTGAGGCTTATGGTATAGAATAGCAACTGCTCTGTGTGCAGTTGTCAGATATTATATGTTACATTTTTCAGCACTGTTACTAGGTGCTGAATACTTAGTTTGTTCTGTCTTGATAAGTTAGCCCCTCTCTTGTTGATAGGTGGCCTCCTTTATCCATGGTTATGTTTTTTCCTCTAAAATCTGCTAATGGCTTTATACACTCTCTACCACACTTTTTATTAGTGCTGTGTTGGTTTATCTTTTTTTCACTCTCACTTTCAACCTGTTTTTGTCTTTGCAGTGTTTTTTCTTTGTAGATAGCATTTATGCTTGGATCATGGGTTTTCTTAATTTCTTTTTATCTAATCTGATAAATTCTGCCTTTTCATGGAGTGATTAAATGTGATTATTAATATGGTAAGTTTAAATCTGTCATCTTGTTTCCTATTTGTTCTTTGCTTCCATTTTCTTCCTTTTCTGGCTTCTTTTGAATTAACTGAATGTTGTGATTTCCCATTTTCTCCTTTTTGGGTCCTCTTTGCTGTAACTCTTTGTTTTATTTTAGCAGCTGCTTTTGGATTTATAAAAGCCATCTTTAATTTATCACAGGCTATATTCAAGTGATATTATACTATTTGACATGTAGTTAAAAAGTTAGAATAATATACCTGTATTTCTCCTGTCCCAACCTTCCTTCTACTGCTGCCATACATTTCATTTTTATACATTATAAACCCCACACCACATTTTAGTATTTAGGCTTAAAGAGTAAATTATCTTTCAAACAAGATTAATAAGAAAAACAGCACTTGCACATACCATGATCGTTGTCATTACCTGGGATCTTCATATTGGTGTAAGTCTCCCATTCCATCTGGCATTATTTTATCTGATAGACTTGCTTTACCTTTCCTTATATTGCAGCTGTGCTGGTGAGAAATCCTTTCATTAAATATATTTGAAAAATTAGCATTTAGTCTTCATTTTTGAAAAATATTTTCAAAATTCTAAGTTGATAGTTTTGGGGGGTTATTATTTCTTTTTTTGATGTTAGTTCTTGAAAGATACTGTGCCACTGTATTCTCACATGCGTTATTTCTAATGAAAATCTTACTGTCAGACCTGAGACTTTGTACTTAGCACATCTTTCTTTTCTTTGCTTTTGGGAACTTCTCCAAAGGCTTTCAATATGATTATGAAACACCTTAGTTTAATTTTCTTAATGTTAAAGCTTCTTTACCATGGGTTGATAGTTTTCATCAAAGTTGGAAATTTTTTACTATGATTTCGTCAACTGTTTCTTTCTACCTCAACTTTTCTCTTCTTCCAAGCTGTTAGGACATGTGTATCAGGCTATCTGACATGCCACTGTTCAGTGATGTTCTAACCACGTATTGTTTGTTTTTTTTAAGATAAGGTCACTCCAGTCTGTTACTTCCTCTTGACTTGAAGTAAAAGTCTCTTCACTAATTTTAATATTAAATAACTTATCAAAATAGTTTTGTCTTATCAGTATTATTCTCCCTATTTTTGAATGAAAAATAGTATACCCAGCAATCTCAAGCATAAAAATAATAAGTATTGAGAAAACTTAAATTATCACTTTAAAATCCCGGGATCAGAGTCCTCTCCAAATTTAGAATACCCAACCTGAATCTGCTGCAGTGCTTTTTGGCTGTCATCCCTTATCAGCTGAAATATTTATTTAAAATTAAGTAACTCCTTTGAAAGTTTTAAGTCTGGATTTGTAACGTGAAACAAATTTAGGAGCCTAAGGAACAAAAAGCTGTCAGGCACAGTGTCTTTCCCATACCGAGCCTTAAATAGAAGTAATATGGTTTCTACGCCATCCTCTTCCGATGTTCTTTGAGCATTCATAGAATCACCAACTTAAAGATCTCTAAGCACCTTACTAGAAGGAACAAAGAAAGCCTAGGTATAAGTTTTTATTTAAGTACTTGTTGTCTCATGTAGTAACTTGGGGTTTGTTTTTAGGAACATAGCTACAGTGTAATGGACAGCCCAAAGAAACTTAAACATAAATTAGATCACGTGATCAGCGAACTAGAGGATACCAAGAAAAGTCTGCAGAATGTTTTAGACCGAGAAAAACGTTTCCAAAAGTCACTGAGGAAGACAATCAGGGAATTAAAAGATGAATGTCTCATTAGCCAAGAAACAGCAAATAGACTGGAAACTTTCTGTTGGGAGTGTTGTCAAGAGAGCATAGAACGAGACTATATTTCATGAAATAGGTTCATGTCCTACCTTAAATTGACATTGGTACAACTTTTTAGAAACGTTATTTACCATCATTAAATACGATCTATTTCAAGTACTTGTTTGGATCCTGTGGACCGTTATGCACTATAGTCATTTTCCAAAGACTCTTTTGAAGATGTGTAGAAATTTGGTCTAGTTTATCATGTTTTTGTGTGACTTGTGACAATTATGTTTTTATAGACCTGAGTTAGTGCTAGGTCACTGTTGTATTAAAAGATGTTAAAAGCTCATGCAAAGTCCTCAGGACTAAGAAAATGGTATCAAATCAGCCACATTACGCTGTAGTGAACACTCTTCAGCAGCATCAGATTTTTTTTTTTCCAAGGGAGTACTTACCTGTGCTTTATGTTACGGCCATTGAATTGTACTTTAATGTATTTTACAATAAAGCAGAATTCAGTTAGCATGCATGTCCATCTTGGATCCCACTCAGGGTGCTGCTTTGTTACCAGTTATACAAAAAGATCTTTTTACAAGGCCTTGTGTAGTCCTGACCTTGACACAGCAGTTGGTGTAGATCTGTTGACTTTAAAAGTTCTTCAGAGTCAAGGTAAAAAAACCCTTTATGAGGTCTTAGTTTACCTCTGCATTACCACGCTCCTCCTCACCAGGGATCCCTTGGATGTAAACAGCAGAGCTTTAAAAAAATTCTTACAAGGGCCATAAGTCTGCTATTCCATGTTTATTTGGTCCGACGATTACTCCATTGTCTCATGACTTACTTCATCAGAAAGGTATATTTTTAATCCCTGAATGCAAATGCTGGCTGAATATTTTTACTGCTACTTTGTATTTTACAGAAAGTAATATTGATGACATGTTTTAAAAATGTGAAAGACAGAAGAAGCTTTTAAAAATAAAGGTGTGGCTTCTCTACTTAAAATAGGAATTGGAGAAAGGATTATAATATTTTCCTCTAATTAGAGTAGATTACTGCCCACTGTTTTTATTTAGACAAGTAGACAAGTAAAACAGCAGCATTAGAATAGACATTTACTGCATATATACAAATAGAACTCTTAGCCGTTGAATGATCCAAGTGACAGAAATTTAGCTTTTCTCCTAATTTCCTAGTCAAAGTAATTCACTCATCAATACTATGGATTAGAATAAAAATTTCTTAACCCAATGCCAAAGTTCTGCTTCAGTGCACATGTACATATACAAACCTCATTCAAACATCTATGCCTTAGTCAGTAGAATCTGAGTGTGTATTATCTCAATGTGTCAACCAGAAATGAATTGTATTTTGTGCTTAAATCTGATTATCATTTGTATTATATTATTATCAATATGAGTACTTGAAGTTTTCTTATATTTAAGAATTTTCTGGTTTTATGCATGTTATATTATGATGTAGGATTCCAAACCTTCCCTCAAAGTGGGTTTTACTCACATATGAGAGGTCAGCATTATGCCAAGAAGGAATCACTGATCGTATCTTTTCACTACCTTCAAAATAAGTTTAGTAGCCACTGTTATTTATTTTAGCTATTTAATTTGTAGGTCATAATGGGCACTTTAATGGAAAGTTTGGGTATGCACTTAGATTTTATGGAGATACTATGATAGAGATGGAGACTTTTTCCCCTCACACCACTTTTCAGTGTAAAAATTAAACTCAGTGTGCGATGCAGGTGTGAGGACACACCCAAACAGTATGTCCAAATACTAGCTCTCTAAGACTCAAGCCCCCGTTTCTGCCACTCTCACAAATGCCACAGTCATGTTACTGCTTGTGTTCACAGTGGCCTCAGCCCTTGTCTCCTTTTTTTCTTTTTTTCCAGTACTCAGAGAGATAGGTAACTACGGGCAAAATACTGATATTCTCAAGGGCCCAGAGCTATCTATTTAGTCTTTATTCTTAAGGAGAAATGATTGCCAGTAGAAATCGGACATAAAAAAATATAGAAACTTCCCTACTTCCACCTCTAACAAATGCCTGAAACAGTGTATACCTCAGTCCTCTGCTCCCAGAGATTTTCAGCTTAGCCCAGGAGAAACTGCCCCACGCAGAACCCTCCAGAGGTTCCTCAAGCAGCTAAGGCCAATCTCAGTATCAAGCCAGGTAAGAAGGACTTAATGTGGCATTTTTCTCCATGTCAAGGTTAAAACTCTGGAAATAGAATTTGGTTGCTAAAGATGATCACAATTACACCATTGTCTTTAATTTGAGAAAAGGTAAAATGTATTAAAATATATGTTTAGTTTTAACTTATCACAGAAATAATTGGGGGTGAGGAATCCATTATATATATACTTGAATTCAAAGTTTTTTTTTCACTGATGTTTTGTATGTGGTTTTATACATTCAGTTATTCAATAAAATGAGCAGAGAAATGAATGTGTATACATTGGTTTTGCTTTAATGTCTTCCTCATGTTTTCTCTGTACCAGTAACTACTATCATAGAGTCTGCTAGCTTAGTGACCCAAGTGACAGGCTTATTTTCACCACAGTAAGGCCTATCTCAGAACCTTTTTGGTACTTCATTGTAAACTGGCAGTCTTAAATGTCACCCAGTGCATAATTGAGAATAGTATACTTATTCTCAGTTGTGTGTGAAAAACACTGCTTTCAGAACCCCAAGAGATCTCTTAAAGCACAGGGTTTCCTTCTTCCTACTGGAAGATGCAAGTCATCATCATTTGTCATTTACTTCATAGGGATGACCTAGTGATGCTCCTCATCACTCAATATTCCACAAAATTGTACTGATGTGGTCGGCCCACAATTTCATGGGTTTTACCTCACCCTCTGAGTTACCCTCAAAGCCTCAAACTTGCTAGTCACACCGTGCTCATCTCATCGGATTGACACCACCCATCAATAGTGAAAAAGAGATTTTCTGTAGAATGTCTGTCTGGTATAAGTCACTTTCAGTTATAGAATAGAAGCAAGAGAGTTAACATGTTTGTTCCATGTGAATGTGATCTGCCTATGATCCTCTTTTCTTATAGAGATGGGAAAGCCAGCACACCAGATCAGTGGTCATATACCTTATACCTTATATACCACAGCACAGCTATCACCTCTAGCACAGCAGCTTATCAAGTCTCTTACTTGGTTGGTTTTGTCTTAGTCTACTCTGCTCTTGCAGGAGTTGTCTACATTTTTCAGGGACCAGAGTGATCAATGAAAAGTATGATGGGGACCACCACTTTTGCACCCTGGCTAAGGAGATCCCTTAGTCAATCCCACAGAAAACTCAGAAGCTGGGTGGTATGAATAAAAGGTGTCTGAGACTGTGCTCCTTAGAAATATCTGCTTGCAAGTTTGGCTCTTAACTGGCATCATGAAACTTGGATTCTAGGAGGGATCCCACTATTCTCTAACTGATAAGAGATCACTGTGCCTAAACTATACAGAAACAATGTGGTTTATGCTGGACACCTGCTTTCCTTGCAAGAGCTTGGAACTTGGGAATGTGTTAGGTAAAGTGTGCCTGTATGAATGACCTGCCCCAGTAAAACCCTAACACTGAAACTGTAATGAGTTTCCCCAATAGACAGCATTTCAATTTGATGCTTATAGAGGCCTGATAACTCTGCCCAAAGGAAGAAACACTATCCCTAGGAAGGTCAGACATATAGTTGGCTCCCCCCATTGGATTAATGGAAAGAATGTGATACTTGATAGTCTGAGAAGGCTCTTCCCCATTTTGCAAGATGGCAGGTTAAAAAGCTGGGAAACCGGCTACTAAGGAAAAGAAGCTGAAGCCAGAAAAGCTTATGCTGCTGGCAAATTTAAGAGTAAAAATCTCAAGCCAAAATACCTGAGAAAGGGAAGCCCCACTACAGTAAAATCCATTCTAGTCAGCTAAATGGGCAGATATTCCTGATCTGCTAAGTATTCCAGAACAGCTTCATGTAAAACTTACTTAGCAGCTAAATCTAGGATTGTAAAGAATGTTCTTACTACTGTCAGAAACCAACTGGTGGTGAAAAGAATGACAGTATCTGAGAGGCTAAACTTCACAAAATGCCTAGATTCTACCCACTGAAGATGTGTCTTGGAAGCCACAGCAGAAACGGCTTCAATCAGCATGAGAGAAAACAGGGCTGGCATTGCTCCTGGGGCCATTCCACCCATCCTGCCAGGTGCTACAGTGGCGGCAGGGTGATTTCCTGAAGCAGCTGAGCAATGGCTCTGGCCTTTGCCCTCAATCAAGTTCCTCTACCTAGAACATACCAGAAATTTGTCATCACCATCTCCTCCCAAATTGATAGGAGTGGTGTGAAAATCCCCAAATATCTTAACTTTAAAAAGCTACGTGAGCCCCAACACCAGAAGTTTAGATTTAACACAGTGAAAGAAATATGAGATGACAGAGCTGTACAAGATTGACTAGAAAGCTGTGGACTCACAAACTGCCAAAAATCAAAGCTGGTCCTCCTCTCCAGGGCTGCCTCCACACTGTGTTTGCTCTCACAAGTGGAATGTGACCGCACAAGAACATAATAACTGATCCATTGAAAAGGAAATGTGAGAGATCATTATTACTATGTTAGTCTCCTATATGTGGAGGCCAGCCAAAATGGGAATTGAGCCATCATTGCAACCTTAGCCTACCTTCTCTTACGTGATCTCATTGTTTCCTCAAATTTCGTTTTAACAGTCTAAAAAGTGCCACATCTCCCTTTTGGAGATATGCTCAGGACAGAGAATCATACCCCACATCCCTCACTTTTCTCCCAACAGGGCTTCTTTTCATCATAGAATTGTGCCTGATGCAAAGGAAAAGCTGGAGGAAGTGGTAATGGAAGAAGAAACTGTTGGATCAGGACCAGGAAACCTGAGAACAGAAATAGATATGATTAGTAATATAAGGACCACATAGGGGCCACTGTTGGTGTAGTGGTTAAGTCTCAGTGCTTGAATCAAGCTATCACTGTTGTGGTTTGAGTTTCCATCCCCAGCCAGGGAGGTGACCCACATGGCACAGCAGACCTCTCCTGTCTCACCCACTGGCTTCCCCTCAGCAGTGTATTTCCATAGATCTGACTGTTCTGCTCCCCATCTGTCTCTGGTGAATCCTCTCTCTCTCTCTCTGTCTCCCTCACACACACACATCTGCACCTCTATATCCTACACCCCTGGTCTATACCCTAGAACTTCTACACAAAAATAAAATCTTAAAAAAACACACACACACACAAGTGGTCAAGAGTGAGCAATAGTGATAGCAGTTTGAGGAAGTGCTGAGAACTTTGCACTCTCCACAAATTCCACATGTTTAATGTACCAAGAGCTGTATGACAGGAACTGTGGTAGGTACTAGGGAATCAACAAATGAAAGACCCAGTTCCTGAACCTGGGTGGAGGAGGTTGCAGAGGGAGGAGGTTGCAGAGTAGTAAGAAGTTCCAAAAGTCATAATCCTGAGACAGCAGGGAGTACCTCTCAGGAGGATGGCCAGCCTGCTGCCTTTCTCCTCACTGTCCACTGCTTCATTCGATGACACACATGTTCAACAGATTTCAGTGTTGCATAGTGAAAGTGACTCAGTCTCATTTCATTTTTAGGCACATAATGAAATTTCTAGGCTAATTAATATATTTGTTTAAGATTTTACTTATTCATACAGACCTGGGGTTCAGGCCAGAGGTACAGGGGTGGTGAGAGGATTCACCAGAGACAGATCGGGTCGCAGAACAGGCCAACTGACGAAGTACACTGCTGAGGGGAGCAGCGGGCGGGTCAGGAGAGGTCTGCCGCGCCATGTGGTCACCTCCAAGGCAGGTGGGGATCGAATTCATGCAGAAGTGCATAGCTTGTTAGTGCTATGCTTTAACCTGCTGCACCACCAGGGAGGGCCCACCAATTAATATTTAATGTGATAATGACCCATCATGTATATTGCTTTCAAAGCTCCTACATTATAGTGAGTGAAACAAAGATGATAAGATAAAGGCATTTTGTGCCTACAAGGGCACGAGAGTATATAACAAACAAGGAGAAGTGAGCCGTGTGGCTGGACTGTTGTGATTGAGGTCCTTACACTATGAAACTAGTGGAATCTCAGAGTTCCGAAATTGAACACTAGTATGTTAGCGCTGGCATTTTTTTTTTTTTAAGATTTAGTTATTTATGCATACAGAACTGGGATATAGGTCAGAAGTGCAGGAGTGGTGAGAGGATTCACCAGAGACAGAGTGGGGAGCAGAACAGGCTGACTGATGAAGTACACTGCTGAGGGGAGCAGCGGGTGGGT